TTCCCCTTATGGATTTGGATCTGTCATGATTTGAATTTCTTTATGAAGTTCTCCCTCTAGACTCCGTGTGCAAGGCTGAGGAGGTTGATGCTTCACCCGATTCTCTCCGTCGAATTTCTTCACTCAATATCATATCTTGAACATCGTCGAATTTCAATTTGATGTTTCTTGACGAGCTACTGACTGTTGTGACAGTAGCATTCTAACTGTCTGGTAGAGATGATAAGAGAATTAAAGCTCGAACTTCATCATCGAATTCAATTTCCACGAAACTCAACTGGGTTGTGATTGTGTTGAGTCCATTTAGGTGTTGAGCCACTGATGCCCCTTCCGCCATCTGCAAATTGAATAATCGCCTCACCAAATGAACTTTGTTTGAGGATGATGGCTTCTCATACATACTAGAGAGAGCCGCCATAAGACCCGTCGTGGTCTTTTCCTTTGCTATATTGAAAGCAACATTGCGGGATAACGTCATTTGGATAACTCCGAGGGCTTGTCTATCGAGAAGAGCCCATTCTTCATTCTTCATGCCCTCTCGTTGCTTTCCTGATAGAGGTTTATATAGATTTTTCTGATACAGAAAATCTTCAATCTGCATCTTTCAAAATCCAAAGTTCGCACCATCGAACTTCTCAATTTTCACATTCCCTTCGTCTGCAGCCATCGCTCCCACTCGAATCTGGCTTCGTTTGGATCGTTTCTAACAATTTCTATGAACCACCGTGTATTAGAACACCTCCACCAACAAATTCGTATGTCGACAAAATTTTTACTATTCACAAAATTCATTATTCACATGAATAGTAATGATTAGTAATCTCGCAGAAAAATTGGAAAAAAAATTCAACACCAAAAGCTCTGATACCAGTTGTTAGGAAATAAAACGAGTACAAGTAATTTCTTTATAACCAGATTAGTGAGAATGCGAAATAAAAGCAAAAAAATAATACCCAAAATTGATAACGGAGTTCAGCCAATTATGCATACGTCTCCGGGTATTGGGAGAAAGAAATGATTTGGAATGAATTTTGAAGTTGAATGGGTTAGGGTATTTATAGTTGAAGCTTAAGGGTTAATCTTGTAAATACCATAAAGTACAATGACTCAATATGGTAATTATCCCTTTGCCAATTTCAACAATATTGGCTGCCCACTTTGAATTCAAAATTGCCGTCCAATTTGAAATTCAGCCGGCCATCTAGAATGCCAGCAACAATTGTCAACTTTCAACAATCATGTGGATTCCCCACGATTGCAACAAAGTCGCGGATGCAATTGGAAAAATTCCCACAACTGATCCTTTTCAGAACTCAATCCTCAACACCTCTTAAAGCTTTTATCTAGGGATGCTTCAAGTCCCCCTATTGTCGACGAGCTATTGCTTAGTGTCCGGCCTTTGACCTCTTTCAATTTTAAAAAATAACATATAATTTTGAAAAGAAAAAAATTAAGTGCCCAAAACATAACTATAAAAACAAGTGAAAGATTGAATACGTAGTTTAACCAATATTTCACGTTATGGTTGGCCTTGGATGATTAAAAAGTAAATATACATAGGGACGTAAAATCAGGTAATCGTTTAAGTTTCAGTCAGATCCTGTCAGGTCGGGTAAAATCGGATACATTACAAGTCAGGTCAATTTGATGCTTCTATTCGGATTAGGACGGGTCAAGGTCAAATCAGGTCGGGTCATTTTTAGGTTGATTTGACACCAGGTTTAGTTCGGGTTACTTTGAGTTTGGATCGATGTCAGTTCAGGTCCGGAGCAGTTAAAGGCCAGGTTAATTCAAGTTTGGAGGGACTTCAGGCGGATCTCATTCAGATCGAGTCACATCATTGACAGATAAAATTTAGGTCGGATCTTTATCAGATACAGATTGAGTTCATATCGGGTCAATTTTTATTTTTAGATTAATTATTTTTCGTCTTTCGCGAATGTTGAATTATAATTTGTAATTGTATATGATTTAAAGTAAATTACTAAGAATATAAATAATCATGGATTTATGAAAAATATAAATTTAAGGAATAAATTAAACAAATATGAAATTAAAAATAAAAATTTAAATAAATTAAACAACATGCATCGATAAGGGACCAAATCGAAATAATTTTCAAATGTGATGTTGAAATTAATATAGAAAAGAACTAAATTATACCCATTTAAAAAGTTATGGGCTAATTACAAAAATATAAATAAGAAATAAGAATGGGTCAAATTCAGATGCAACTATAAATTAAATAACTAAATTGAATAAATATGAAAATGAACAAATTAAAATTTAAATAAAGTAAAGAACACAAAAGGAAAATCAAATAATTGTAAAATATAAAGCAAATCTGAAAAATAGAGTAAAATTAAAACAATTATATATATATATATATATATATATATATATATAAAGTATATATTAATATAATATGTATAAACTATATAGTTTATATTTATAATTTTATATATTGTATATAAACTATGTAGTGTATATATGAACTATATATAAACTATATTATATACTATATATAAACTATATGGTTTATTAATATAAACTATATATTTTATAGTTTATTAATATATATAGTTTATATATACACTACATAGTTTATTAATACAAAAACTATATATAAACTACATTTTATATGGTTTATTAATATATATATATATATATAAAGTATATATTAATATAATATATATAAACTATATAGTTTATATTTATAATTTTATACATTGTATATAAACTATGTAGTGTATATATGAACTATATATAAACTATATTATATACTATATATAAACTATATGGTTTATTAATATAAACTATATAGTTTATAGTTTATTAATATATATAGTTTATATATACACTACATAGTTTATTAATACAAAAACTATATATAAACTACATTTTATATGGTTTATATATATATATATATATATATATATATATATATAATATAGTTTTTGTATATATAGTTTATATTAATAAACTATAAAGTATATACATTATATACTTTATATAATTATATTAATAAACTATATAGTTCATTAGTATAAATAAACTATATATTATATAATTTATTGGTATATATAAACTATATATTATAATGTTCATTAGTATATATAAAATATATATTATATAGTTCATTAGTATATATAAACTATATATTAATTTATTAATATAAATATATATATTAATTGAAAATTTGAAAAATATATAAGGATCAAACTGAACAAATTTAAAATATGAAACTTAAATTAATAAATTGCATCATTAAATTTGTTCAATTACATCATTAAATTTGGACTAAATTGAACAAATTTAAAACTATAGTACAACACTAAAATGCCAAATGAAGTTCAAAAACATGCGGACCAAAACTCAAACCTGAATTTGGATTGGACTCGTATATAAGAAAAACCCAAACACGTGGGCCAAACCTAAACCCTAACCAAGTCTCTTCACTTTCTATCTCTATTTATCTTCTCTAATCCCAAACCCTAACCTAGCCTCTTCATTTTTTCTTTGTTCATCTTCTCTAACCTCAAACCCAAACCGAGCCTCTTCATCTTCTCTCTGTTCATCTTCTCTAACCCAACCTTGACTGTTCATCATCATCTTCTTCTTCTGTACATCTTCTCTAACCCTAACCGATAATATTCATCATCTTCTTCTTCCATTTCTATTCATCTTCTGTAACCCTATATCTAACCAAGACTGTTACAAACTATTCAAAACCTTTATTTTTTTCTACGGTTTCATGGATAGTTTGTCTTACGAGTTGTATTATTCAGGTATTTTTCATTCCTTTTTTAATATTATTGTTTTTTTATTTTAATATTTGAATTAATATATTCTTCATTTGTTTTGTAGGAGAAACCCCAACATATCAGAATGAAAAACATTTTAAAAGAGGTAAACTGTCAATTCCTGTTTTTGTATATGCTTTATTTATATATATATTTAAAAAAAATTAATTTTGTATACTAACCCTAGTTTTTTTTTTTTGCAAGGTGATGTAGATGATATACTATCTGAAGCAATTGATGTCAATAAATCCTCTAAGAGGAAGGCTACATGTTCAGCCGAGTTCGGGAGAAGAACTTCTCATGTTTGGGAGCATTACACCTTCATCAAATCTGTCGATGGTTCTGTTTATGCCGAGTGTAAGTATTGCAAAATTAAAAGATATAAAGCTGATTCTTATATTAGTACATCTAACCGTAGAAGGCATACTGAGAAATGTCAATCTTATAAGGAATATATTGCTAAAAATCATGTTTTGGTAAGTTCTTTTGATCAAAACAAATATTGTGAATTGTTTGCTGAGGCTATTATGTGTCATGGTTATGCATATAGTATTGTTGAGCATGAAAAACATAGGGATTTGCATCATTACCTTAACTCTTCTATTAAGGATATATATAGGTATATTGTTACTAAGTATTGCATGTTGGAGCATGAAAAACATAAAAATTGCTATCAAGTCATGTTTGTTTTACATGATATGGTTAGTCTGCTTGCACTTCACATTCTTATTTTGCTCTTACTGCTCATTATGTTGATAATAACTGAAAACTTCAGTCTAAAATAATTAATTTTCGTCGTTTTCCTCCTTCTCATTATGGTGAGTCAATCTTTAAGTTTGTTAAAAGATTATATGAGTAGGGTCTTGAAAAAAGCATTTACCATTACACTTGATAATACTTCAGCAAATGATAAAATGATTAAGAGACTGAAATATGAGTTGAATGTTATTTCTTCTCTTCTCTGCAATGGTAAGTACTTCCGTATAAGGTGTGCAACCCACATTTTGAACTTGATAGTTCAAAAAGGTTTGAAGGTAATTGATTCTTCTGTTATTAAGTTTCGTGAGATTGTTAAGTTTATTAATTCTTTTGACTCTCGACTTTGTGTCTTTGAAAAAAGGGGAAAGGTTGCAAAGTATATTGCTACATGGGAAGTTGTTTTGTATATAACTACAATTATTTTTTAACAACATAAGACTATAACTCTAAGGAAAACTAACCTAGAAGTTGTGCGTGAACCAGGTTTCCTAGGAGAGCTTTCATTATATGAATGGCCTTTCTCACTGCTGGCATCTGAGTAATTACGCTCTACTTTCTTAGAACCTTTCATGGATGAACTCTTATATGGAATAGAAGTTATAGCCGCAACCTGTCACATGAAGCAAACGCTGGATTACTTCACACTGCTGAACATCATAATTGGCTTGAGATAGTTGTAGCTCCAGTCGAAGCTTTTCATTTTCCTTTCGAAGTGCTTCATTAAAACACATGTTTGGATATGAGCAAGAAAGAGTTTTTTTCAAAATCATGGCATCATTTGTTGACGGATCTGGTTTCAGTATAACATCTTGCATTCTCCTGTCCTCTTCATCCAGTGTGTATTCATGTTGATCTTTCTCAATAACTTCTAGTCTCTCCTGCAGGTTTGAGAGAACTGAAAAATTAGTAAAGCAGACAAACTAAAGATTAGAAATATTGTCCAACCACTAGAGATTTTAGTCCCTTCAGTAATCTCATTGATTTATTATTTTCGAATGATATTTCTGGAAAGAAACATATCCAAATCTTCCAATACAAAACATTTTTTATCTGCACGAAAAGTTCTATATAATTCAGTACATTTTCTTGGAAGTAAAGGCTTGACCTGTATCCTTCTTTGACAAAATCAGAGGTTGTGTACGAACTATTTTGGCCAATGGATTCATCTATAGAGAAGCTGATGGGCCTGAATGGTTCAGATTTTCATTAAAAAACAGGGGAAGATAGAAGAACAAGTGGATGAAGGGAAGGGACATTAATTAACTACAAAACCATTAAATAGGAAGGAAAACATAAATGATCGCCTATCCTTCCAAAAAATTAAATATCAAAGGAATTCAAGAGGAAATATAACTATGACAAAGCTATGAAGTTTGTCCCACCTAGGGATTTAAATTAGGTTGTGGTTTTGTTTTCGGTTGCGTTGCGTTGCGTTTATTGCGATTGCGGCAATAACAATTGTAGTATCGTGATTTTGCAATAACAGTTTCGGATATCACCTTTACCGCTATATAACAACCACTATTCTGATAACGGACTGCTATTTAGATCTCTACTCCCACCCTCTTTTGCCTTCTCCACCACCCTTCCCCAAGCTAATGAAGAACTAGATATTAAAATATAAATTACTCAGTTTTCGATGGTTGACCATTGTAGCAAGGAATCAAAGATCACTCCTTGATTTACAATGGCCAAACAAAGAACCAAAAGCTATGGAGAGATACCTAAGAAGACAATAATATTTACAGCACTGAATTTCAACAAAGGAATCATACTACATGCATTTCTAAAGTTTACCTTCATTTTTTAAGTACCAATTCCAACCCCAAACATCATTTGAAAATTGTTTTGAGAGTCATGCAAATAAGGAAAAATAAAACCAAAAGGGGTTGTTGGGATTCGATGAAGCTCAATTAATCAACCGAATAATTTGCCAATATGGGGTAAATTGACTTTTTGAGTTTAAGGAGTAAGAAGTATAAAGATGAAATAATTTGCACAAGGATTTATAGTGGTTCGACTTCTCAACCAAGTCTACATTGACTAACTAAGCTCCTCACTTAGGATTTTCTAACAAATTCACTAATTTATTCTTTCTTTTTTCCAGGATAAAGAGATAATATTTACAACTCCCTAGCTTTTTCAAGAGCTAAGCTAAAATCAATCCCCTTTACAAAAGGAATAAAAGATATAAACAATAAAACCTCTTAAAGGAATGTGTTTACAAAAATTAAGCTCATTAAAACACTAATATTTACAAGAGAAAGGAAAATAAGAATGAAAAACACTTTTCTTGTGTTTGAATGCTTGGATATGTGTTGTGTAACCTTCTTCAAGTGTCCTCAACTTATTTTTTATATGCTGGAATGAGTTTATAGCCGTTTCTAGCCGTTGAGATGTTTTGGAGCCGTTGGGGATTAATTTTCTGCAAAATAAAACTGCCCATGACAGGGAGTATCGGTACTCCTTTAATGAGTATCGGTATTACCTTTGTAATATTTAAATAAACTAGCTATTGAAGACCGTTGAGCTTGACTAGTATCGATACTATGCTTCATGGTATCAATATCACTATGTAAAGTAGTATCGGTACCCCTTGAGTATCGATACCTATTTTGCATTCTGGAATTTGAGCAATTCAGAAAACAACTGGTAGTATCGATACTACTTAGAGAGTATCGATACTTCTCTTACCTTTTGTATCAGTACCACATGAACAGTATGGGTACTGTTCATGTAGTATATGTAGTGCGTACCTAAAAAATATGTTTTGTGCTCAAATTCTAATTTAATTGACTTTGAATTATATTTAAAAACTTTGAACAAATTCAATCAAGTCCAAAAACATTTTACCTTAATTTGTTATATCAAAATATTATAAAACATGGTTGAATTAGGGTAAATATCAAAACAACAATAAGAGAAGTGAATAAATACCCTGACTCGAGCATCATCCACAAGAGTGATAAGAGGAACAATCTTCAAATTCTGATCAATTTCATTCTGGGTTTTCCTAAACTAATATACGATTTTCCTAAACATGTAAGATCTCCTTAGGGCATCTCTAATGCATCTCCAAAGTAGAGAAAATCTCCACTTTGGAGATGAATTTCAACTCCAGCCCATCTCTAGAGTTGAGTCTGGAATGTGGAGATGCTACAGTGATACTCTACATATAGCACAACACTGTAGCTCATCTCTAGAGTAGAGTCTGATTTTTGGTTTTTTTATTTTATTTTATTTTTACTTTCTTTTGTTATTTTCTTTTTTTGTTAATTTTTGGAACGAATATTTTAATTTGGAGAATTAAAATATATAATTATGTAACTTATGTTTTTTTCGCATTATTATTATGAATCGTAATTTTCTTATTTATTTGTATTTTCGCAATGTTATTTATGAATATTTTATTTATGCTTTTTATCTTGATATTTATTAGAAATGTATATGTTTTATTTTATATTTGTAAAATCAATATTATAATAGTTAAATATTATGAATAAAGTATAATAGTTAAATATTATGAATAAAGTAGCCCCTCTCTCTTACTTCTTTTCGTGCCTCAGCTCAGATAATAAAATTCTAAACTATTCTGAGTATTCTTAAATTCATGTAAAATGTCTTACTTCTTTCGGATTTTCTTTTTGTAAAATGTCTTAATTGTTCATTCCCAGTCTATCAAAGTCCTTAAGATTTCAGATATTTATACTGCATAATATTGATAGCTTGATATAATCGTCGGTAATCTCATCGTCTATTAAATTTATTATATTATTAATCTACAAATAATTATCATCAATTTAGATATGACATATATAAATGGTCAATAAAAGGAGTAGAAGTATCTCTTTTTCTCTCAAGTTCTATTATTGATCATTTTCTTTGTTTCATTACTCTATCTCTTTTGTAGAATCATCGACTATTAAAGTCCATATAAATTTAAAAAAAAACAAATTATTTATAACCTTCTGTCGCAACCTTCGGTTGGACTCCGAAATTAGACTTCGACTTGAAAAATGTGGATTGGAGCCGCCACCGATCATTTATTTAAAACAAATGGGTTGATCGGATACCCTATTTCTTACTTGATCTGCGTCTTTCCAAAGATGTGTCGGGTTCGGGAGTCGGTTACGGTCAAGGAAGGATTAGCACCCTTGAACCGCCTTTTCGGTACTACGTAATTTCCAGTTGTCTTTGATTAAGAAAATTGCAAGTTAAATTGAAAGGCAAAATTTGATCCGAATTACTTACCCTTAATGAGTTTACGAAAATACTCTTAAAAAATAAGATTTTAAAAGAAAATAATAATAATAAAAGAAAGTAACAAAACTAAAGAGTAAACTAAGGAAATAAATGAAATCAATAATAATAAACATAAAATAATTGGATGAAAAAAAATGAAATTGAATAAAATAAAATAAATGAAGATAAAATATATATACAAAAAGAATAAAAAAGGTAAAGTGTTTTTTTTAAAAAAGAAAAATAATAATAAGAGCAAAGAAACTAAAAATATAATGAAAATAATAAATAGTATAAATAAAATAATAAAAAATATATATAAAAATATAAAATGTATGTATAATATAATAAAATACTAAATAGTAATAATAATAATAATAATAAATAAAAAATAAATATACATATAATATTAACTAAAAAATAGTAATCATAGAAATATAAAATAAAATAAAGTAAGAATATATATATATATATATATATATATATATATAACGTTAGGAAAATATAGTAAAAAATATAGTAAATAAGTAAACATAGATAAAAAATAATAATATAATATATATATATAATAATAGAAAAATAATATAATATAACGTAAAGAAAAATGAAAAAAATTATAATAAATAAATAAATTAAATATAATTAAATATATACATATATACATATAAATAATAAGGGTTAAATTAAAATAAAAAATAAATTAGGGGTCAAAATGAAAAGCCAATCGAAGAAAAAACGACAAAACACGCGGATCCACACGACCCGTTTATAAAAATCCGAATAGTTTTTCAAAAACACAAGCCTCGGAGACTAGATCTACAAAAAATAGATCTCGAAAATGCCCCCGTTCATCGGCCAAAAACACTTCTCTCAGTTTTCTTTCGAAATCAAAACACAGCAAGGGTAAGGAAAAATAACATGCGAAGGTATGAACTTTACCTTTCAAAATATAAATGCTTCGAAAAATGGCTACGAGTTGCTTGTAATTTTTTGCTTGGTATTTCGTATATCCTCCTCCGAATGTGTTACAATAGCGAGTTACAATGACTATTTATAATGCTTGTGGATCCTATCTTTAGGAGTTTAAATAATAGTAGAACTCTATCATATATTTTTAGGAGTTTGAATCCTAACAAAATTATATCCTATTTTTAGGAGTTTGAATCCTAGTAGGACGAAAAGGTGTGTTGACACCTTCATAATCTCATTTTTTCCGTTAATAAAATTGATATAGTAATAATGTTATTATTATTTTTTGATTAATATAAGGTGAATATAAAGTAATATATGCTTACTATTAAAAGAAAAAAAAGTATATAATTAAAGAGTTTCAGCAGGAAAACAAATTAATGATATGATAAATTGGACTTTGTTATAAAGTTTACAGCATTATTCGATGGAAACACAATTGACAATCCTCCTCCATCTCCCAATAAGAAAACATTCGAAGCAATGTCAGTTGTGAGTTGAGGACTGCATGGAGTGTTATTTGAAGATGAATAAAGTTGGCTGCTAGTTTTCTTTGATAAAATATTTTGCCTTTTCCTTAACACGCGACGTGATCAAATTACCTGATTAGTAGTTCACGCGTCGTTTAGTTTGCACGTCACTGTTATTATGACCTTTAAGGGCATAAATACTAAAATATTATTATTCGATTTTTTTAATAGCACAAGTGATTAAGAAAAATATTATTTTATTTTACTACTGAAACCACTTGATTGGTTCGAATTCGATTCTTTAATTCAGTCTATAGTCGAATTTTAATATCTTAATAGCAATAGTATATATTCTCCGGTGAAGCTGAAATAAAGATGTACAGATGAAACAGGGATTAAGGTTGCATGAATGTCACGGGGCGATATTCCAGTGGGATTCCACCTAAACAGAAAAACAAACCCCACCATGGCAGATGCTAGAAATGGAAATAAATACAAAAATGTCCATGTGGTTTGATGGGCAAATACACTAATCCAACTATATGTGATTCTGAAGCTGCTCAATTGGAATCCGCATGTAATTGTATATTCTTTCGGCCAATATTCAAGCTGTGTGCTTGGGAAATGAGTTCGCTCACTACAGGACAAATGACCCATACGCTTTAAGGTTGTAAAAGTATCAAGTTGAATTTGCATCTATTTTACAGCTTGTGTGGGAAATGCAGCACTATCTCATAGTGCAAGTGTTTTTTTGTTTAATCATTCTAAAATTCGAATTTCTATTATTACCACCCATCCAAAAAATATTTTATAGATCCGTCCCGCACATAATTGATATACAAATGGCAGCTTTGCCAAAACCACGTCTAAGGGGTGGTCCTTTTTGGGGCATCCCACCCATTAGTTCCGGGGGACTTGCTTCAAACTTGAAACCTAAAGGAATCCTTTTGCGTCACTTTATTCTTATAGACTTTATGTTCAAACTAAAAATTTTAAGAGATAACAATAGATGGGCATGGAACCCAAACTCGACTTGATCGGGTCCAGTTATTTTAAAAAAAATTTGAGTCGGGTCGGGTCTAATTCGGGTTTAAGATGAAAATACCCAACCTGAACCGAAAAAAAAATTATAATTTTATCTTATATATTTAAGAATAATTACAATAATACCATTCTATATATTATTTTTTTCAATTAAGTCGTTTTTATTGAATTAAAATATTTTTTATTATTTCGGGTTGGGTCGGGTTTTTAAATTATATATCAGGTCAGATTTGGATCGGGTGAAATTTTATTTTGGTCGGATCGGATCTCGGGTGGAAGATTCTTTGATCTTGGGTCGGGTCAGGTGGACCAAAAACCCGACCCATGCCTTTCCCTAGATAACAACAATCCCTTAAACATTGAGATAACTTATTCCTAAAATTTAGGCTTAAGAAATAATATTTAAATCATGTTTTCTTAATCCCAAGCTCAACAATTAGTGGACAGTGGCTTCCTAGTTTGGCAAATTTAGGTTGATATGTAATAACTGAAAGTAACTCGTGAGAAGACATTGGGTGGTGGATGTGATGATGATGGGAAGAAATAAAGGTGATAAGTTCTAGGGCCTTTATTTTGTTTTGTAGGAAGTATTTGGATAACAAAATGGAGAATTTTTCTACAGCCCAATTAAATACAAATTGTCCATCAAATCCCCCCTATCTTCGGCCGAAGACCACTCACGTCACATATAATAAAGGCTAAACTACACTTACAAAATAATTTATGTGTTTCTTCTTATTTTGATTATTCATATTTCAATTGTTATATTTCGTTCACTTATGTTATTAATCCGATGTGGCACTATAAATTATTAAATAAAATACACATAATTTCCATACATAAATAAATAAAAAAAACCCGATACTTAACTCTATTGTGTATTGACCTCCATTCTTCATCGTCCATCAAGCCCCCTCATCTAGCCATCTTCATCCCTCATTGGCCTACTATTCCTAAAAACCAAACCATCAAACCACCATAACACCCCCCCCCCCCACATAATCGATAAAAACTCACCAAAATAGGCCCTATGACCGCCAAATACTCGCTAGCAAAGGCATCATCAACTCATTGAAACTAACATAAAATCTTTATCGAAAAGCTCTTCAGGTATGATTCCTTCGAACTCATCGAACCACAAATCCAAAATCTTGAGTGTCAAAAATAGGATAACTACCTTAGGAAACTTACTAATGAATCTATTGTTGCTAAGATCCAGTTAGAACAATATCGTCAAATTACTAAACCTGTGAGGAACAATACCCCAAAACCAATTTAAGTTGATATAGAGCAATGCAAGCTCTTCCGGCAAGTACCCAACGATATCATCATGGTTTGAGTCAATGTCAGTGATGAATCTAATCATCTTATTATCAAATGTCGAAAAACAATACTCTGGTCGGAGATGACCACCACCATCACTAAGCCTCGCCCAATACCTCGCTACCATATTCGAGCTATTTCCCCTAGACCCCACTCAACTTTCACAAGTAGTCCCTAAACCTAGTAACGTAAATCCCTAAAATTGACCTCTCAGCCACCATAATTCTCCTAAACTAATCGATTCATAAACTCATAACCTATCCTATCCCCCAACTCCCTCATACTCGCATCAAAATCAAAACCTGCCAAGATCACATCAACAACAAAACAATAAGAAAAGCAAATCAACAATCAAAAGACAGAGAGAAGAAAAATAGAAGTCAAAAAGAAAAAGGAATAAGGGAAGTTGTCATCCTGATTTCAAGCCAATCTGATGGTGACTGTCAAAGATCCATTGAGAAAACAGTTTGTGATCCAAGTTTAGCATTGAGAATTTCTTACCATTTTCAAGAAAAACCAAAACCTATAGGAAAGAATAGCTAAAGATTACGTAACACCCTAATCTGACCCGGCCTGAATCCGGTAGATTTGAGTACTACACGAACATCCTGAGTTGCAGTAAGCATCTAGTACGATACAAAGTACACTATTAGAACTTGAAATTTCACAAATCATACTGTTGCTTCAAGTGACACGAGAAACACTTGCAATCCACCTCATTTATCAGCTTTCTTATCAAGTCTTGCTGTACCTGAGCTTGATGACTCACCCATTGAATCGGGAGAAGCAGCAACTTGGGACGAAGCTCTCTTCAGAGAAGTTGGCATCCCTGATATTTCCTAAACAGGTGTAAAAAGCTATTGTCACTTATTTGGGCAGAAATTCGGCCCTTTGATATTGAACCCTTTACTCTTCATATGCATGACAGGTGAGTTCACATCACAGTATGCATGGTAGCACATGCAGCCACTTCATAATATCATTTACAATGCATATAATAGAAGTGAAAAGAGATACCATTGTAATCCTTTTTTTCCAAATTACCTTCATCAAATGCAGCCTCAGATCACAAGGTCGGACTTGGTTTCCTATGCATGCCATTGCAAATTTTGAATATTGAAATAGTACATCGGCAGCAGCTTGTTTTTTCTCTTCAGTCTGACATAAATGGCATATGATAATACACAGAATGAAATAAGTTAAAAAAACTCTGTCAAGGAGGAGATCAAAACACACCCACACACCCTAGGCTCCGACCATTTAGCGTAAGTCGTTATGTAAAAGATACCAAAAGCAGCTGAAATAATTCCAACTTCAATCAGTAAAAGAAGTAACAACATCAGGTGAAGGAGACAATTAAACTTGCACACTGGTTTGTGTTTACAAATGAATCAACAGGCCTCGATAAAGGTATAATCCCAATTTTATTGATCCATAGATATAATCCTATCTGTTCCACAACTCGGGTCTAGCTGATGGATCATCATACTCTTTAGGAATGGTTCTGTAGTTAGCTGATGGTAGATGCAGTTATGACTTATGCCCCTCAAAATAAAGATAGAAACAGAAACCAATCCGACATAATCACCTTTATAAATCAACAGCTTGAACATCCTTGTTACGACCTCGGATGAGTCTCTTTCTTCCAAGAGATGGAACATACTATGATTCCACCATAGAAAAGAAAATGAAATGGATTTGCAATACAAAAAATGCCATAATCAACAAAATATTGATAGAAAACTAACTCCAAGAACTTGTAATTTACACTAATCCCCATCGGAAAAACTTCACGACATAAAGAATGATAATGATTTTCACATTCTAAACCAAGAAAACAAATGCCCAGAAAAACCAATCAAATTAAGTACATGGTAACTAATTTTCCACGCATAACAAGTTTGTAAAGAGATAAATTTTACCGGAAAATTTTCAATTAAACGCAGTTATAAGAAGGAACAGTTGTTGCCCAGTTCGAGAGACGATTTACTAATTAAGGTAGGTTGAACTTAAAAGAAGACAGAGAAGAAACGGTATCAGAATCTCTTCATTTTTGCTTTTCTTTAATCGAAAACAAGTAACAATAGGAGATTTATTAAGGATTAAAGACTGATATCATGAAAGGAAGAGATTTCAACCAAGGGTCGAATCAATTAATGATTTCACTATTAATTATAAAATTAAACGTAAAATACAGATTGAAACAAGTATGAGTACCTCGTAATCTTCTTTCATGCTTCGATCTTGCTTTGCATTTGACTTCTATGGAGTTTCGATTTCTCTTTATTTCATTCCTTGACCTTGATTTCCAGTTTCAAGTTTCAACTTCTAGATTGAGCGTTAAATCATGGGTAAACTACAAATTTAGTATCCAAACTATCACTTTTATTCTGTTTTAGTCAGTCAGTTATTGGTTTTTTAAAATTATATCTAACGTTACGTTTTAATTTTATTTTGATTATCTGCCGTTGAGAAATTAATAGAACCTCTGATGTGGAATTTTTAAAATATTTTCAAAGTTAATGTAACATTACATTATAGTGACATATCACCATCACAATTAATTTTTTAACGGTGGGTGAGAGAAATGAAACCAAAACATAATATTGGGTATGATTTTAAAACAAAATATAGTTGGATTACCAAATGGAATAAAAGTGATAGTAGGGGCAATAAGCTTTTATTTTACCCTTAAACCAAATATAACATTTTTTTTTGAATGGAAACGATATTTATAAATTATTATAAACCAAATATAGAACTCAACCGGAGGACTTAATTATTATAACATAAAGAGTAAATTATATCATATACCATTTAACTTTAGGCAATTTATTGTTTATACCACTTAACTTTCAATTACACTAATTATAATACTAAATTTCAGTTTTGATTTCAATTATGCAACTAAGTCGTTAAATGTTAACTGTATAGTGACATGGATGGATCTTTCCATCACTATGATGATGTGGACAAAATGACGTCGTTTTAGGTACTAAAATTTTGAAAGGTGTATCAATTTTACCATTAAACTTTAAAATAATTTGATTTTATATACTAAACTTTTTTTTTGTCACCGTTGGCAAACAACACCCATTATAAGTTATCTTTTGCAGTAAGATCTGTATAAAAATGTTTGTATTTTATTATTCTCCTAAAATTAATTTTTCATTAAAACCACTTAAAATCAACAAAAATTCATTTAAAGGTTCAATACGTTAATATTCTGATCTTCTCTATTAATCGTTCGATGAGACTAGTTATGTGATTGTATTAACAAGTTTAAAAGTATTATGGTCATACTGACACCAGCCCTCCATGCACCATATAGCTTCTTTATTCGCCGTTTAATGTTGAAATAGTGCTAATTTTACAATTTGTTTTGGATCACCATATCTTATTTGATGTCCACCAAGGCAATCAATGGGCTACTTTGAAAGTCCAAATAGTTTGATTGGAATCATAGCTTTCGGCCTCTCATTCATCACAAATTATTCTGCCTATTTCAAAACCCAATTAGTTTTACTCTGAAGGGCTATAGCCTACAGAATCCAAGGAAAAACTATGGTCTGGTCAGTTTATTTTATACTACAAATATGGATGGATCCAAGGTCATATATTTTAAATATTTTAAGATTTTTTATTGATAATTATTTCGTATCTTAAAATGTTATAAATTTACATTTCCTAAAAATATAATAAATTCATACATAATACAAAATTCTACGTATGACCTAACAACTAGAAGTGTTTAAGCAGTTAATTTAGTTAACCGGCCGAACCGAATTACTTAAATTTTATTAATCAAATTTTTGTTCCCTTTAACAGTTAACAGAACCGATTATTTTTTCAAAAAAATTAACGGAACCAAATTAAGTTCGGTTAACTAAATTAACCGAATTAATTAAAATTTGTAAATAATATTAAATATTTTTTTGTTTATTCGGTTAATTAAGTTAAAATTAAAGTTTAAACACCCCTAACACTAAATAATATATAATATATTAAATATTTAATAATTTTGGTTAATTCGGTCAATTAACCAATTTCGAATCGAATTAACCGAAACCGAAATTTGAAAAATACTATTAACCGTTAATTGACTGAGTCCAAAATTAACCGATCAAAATTTCGGTTCGATCGATTAATTCGGTCTTAAGCGAATTATGAAACCCGTACTAATAACAAACCCATTTGACATAAAATTTATTGTTGATGTTTAAACAAAACATGTAAGACATATAACCTGAGATCCAATAAGAAGAAAACGGTAAATTAAGGCAGATAATGTAACCTTCCACCATTCTAATTAAATAGAATATGAACATAAAAGCTAAATAAAAGTATAAAAAACCAATGAGAAAATAACCTCAGTGACCAAAAATGCCTTATAATATACGATTTTAACCAACTTTTTCCGGATTTGCCAAAATGACCAACAAAATCGCAATGCGATCGCTAATTCGCAACGCGATCTCCATTATCGCAAATTCGCGTTGCATTTCGCGTTGCGATAGTTGGAAATCGCGTTGCGATGGTCTACAGTGTCGTTGCGATTTTCCCAATTCGCAATGCGAATAAGTAAATCGCAACGCGAATTGGAAAAATCGTAATGCGATACTGACTATCGCAATGCGATACTTACTATCGCAATGCGATAATACAAAATCGCAACGAGATACTGACTTTCGCAACGCGATTCTGACTTTCGCAACGCGATTTACATAGTGCCATTCGTATTAACGCGTATTTTTTTTTTTCAAATTCCAAACACGAATTTTTTCTTAATAAATCGGAAACTGAACCGTCCACAGTAATCGCAACTCATAACCTCAAACCCAAAATCACAACACTCAGTCCCATCTCCATCTCTCACTCTCTACGGCGAAATCCGTCCCCATCTCCGAAGATTTCCGTCCCCATCGCCGGCGAAATCCCTCACAACCATTCACAGTCAAAAAGCCCTCACAATCATTCAGAAATGGAAAATCAACTTCCGAGGGTTAGTTTTTTTATTTTTATTTTGAAATTTTTGCATTATTTTAGGTTTTTCATATTGAGATTTGATGATAAGTTTACTGGTAATTTCAATAATAGATTAACCATTTCACTTAGATTTCTTATTAA